TATTACACTGCTGAGGATAAAAGACATTTGCTTATTTATTTTTTACTCCAAATTGATCTATTTTATATTGTTGAATCACTCCAACTTAAGATTAAATGAAAAGTTCAGCTTTAAGACTTGTTCTCATATAGAATAAGAGCGCATGCAGTGTAACTTCACATTTGTACAACCACCTTTGTATTAAATGACAGATTTTATGGAGCAAGAGATTTTATTGAATCACTTCTTTCATGAAGGTAAGGCCAGATATTAAGAAGATAACAAGTTAAAACCATATATAATTTAATGCCATGTCCTATCTCCCACAATAATAAGAATTTTATTGAACTTGTGAGTCTGCTAAAATCCTGTTTGTTTTCTACTTTCTGTTTTAACAGACTGTTTGCATTAAGAATTCTTTCATCTTTGCATAATTTATTAACATAATCAAGATAAAAACCAAAATAGCTCTGAAAGATTTTAAAACACAATTTTAATAGGGATCAAGATTCCTTCAAAACAAGTTTTAATGTAGAAAATCCACAATATTAAGATATTGTTAGCTAAGATAAAACTGAAGCATCAAAGCAGTTTTATTCCCTTCATGTTCTCATTTATTCCCAGCATTGGTTAGTGGCAGTGATCTGTTCATTCCTGAGCTGTGACAAAATGGTAAAATATGGGATGATTTTACAGCCTCCCCAAATGAAGTGCGTAAATAAAGATTCCAATAACATTACCTTGTATTTTGCTAATTAAATGCATTTTGATGACGCTACAGAATCTGGTAAAACAGAGATTTGTCCACAAAAGCCTTTTCCAGTTGCTGCCACCGCTGCTACTGTAACCCCGCCATGTTCCTTTCCATGCAGGTTTGTGCTGCCAGCTGGTTACGTAAAGTGTTTTCATATGAAACACATTTTGGTGAAGTCAGTGGAATGTCCAGTAAGAGCTCCAAATTAAATCTTGTGTCACTCTACAGTCTACAAGTGTACAAAAAAAAGAAAAAATTACCAGTCTGTCAGCTTTTAGGATGATGTAAGGCTCACGGAGCATCAGGGGCGTACTTCTGATGTGTCAGGCCTTTTTTAAAGCAAATTTTACTGAGAAAATGTGTATTTTTTGTAATGCATTTTATTTGCAACGTTTCAATGCGTTGAAATAATCCTGTAAGTTCTAAATTGGGCTTTAGCTTAAGATCAAGTGGCCTTTGAAGAGAAAAAAAAACATCTTTTCAACAGAGGGCCTCTTTCTACCAGATCAAATTTCTGCCTTGAAGAGTCTGAGTCAGAGAAAAAAGATTAGTGAGTCAATGTTACTTCCTGTAATCCAAAACTACCAGCTAGAAGGCAGGTCCCACAAACCAAGGAACAAAAAAGGGGAATGAAACTTGAAGAGTTTGGAGAATGTTATTTAATTTACACGTTGCGTAGAAGTCAGATAGACAGGCGGGGTTGGAATGAATGAGCAGCTGGATATCAGACTGACGCAGATTAGCAGGAACATTCCCACAGATACTAGTAGTCTTTGCTTCACTTTACACCTTTCTTCAATTTCAGTCTATATCATTCCCAGATTTGCATTTTTTTCCCCTCCAGGTTAAATTACCTTTAATAGTATTTCAATCTGACTTTTCTCATCAATCACAAAATCTTTTTCCAGTTAGGTTAAATGATTTTTAATCTGATTAGTCTGAATCTGATTTAATTAACCATCACTCACATAATCATCTAAATGTTGTTTCTTTTCTTTCATCCTCAATATCTAATAATTTAGGTTTATATATATATATATATATATATATATATATATATA